TTAGTCCCACATCGATTAGGATTGTGAGATGAGATTCTCTATTTTGTTATATAAGCAACCCTATGTAAAGTTTGAGATATACACGAAATAAAAATACTTCCTAGTGTAGTCGTGGACGTAGGCATACATATTTTAGCCGAACCACGTTAAAATTCTTGTGTCGTTTATTTTTCTCTCCTTTATTCTTTCCTTTATTATTGTCTTGTTCCTAACAATTGGTATCAAGAGCCAATTTTCTTAGTATGCTCGTGGTTGCAGCTTTGTCCGATCTTCCACATCGAAAAGATTTGGTCCTTTTTCTTGGGAATCTCGGTTTAGAGAAGCGAGTGGGAGCTTTCTTCGAAAGCGATGAGAGCAATGGCATTGGAAGAAGGAAAGGTGAGGATCGAGAAGTTTGATGGCGGTGACTTCGGGTTCTGGAAGATGCGAGATGGAAGATTATCTCGTATCGAAGAAGTTGTATCTACCCTTGACAGGCGTAAGCCAACCGACATGGAGCGATCAGAATGGGAGTTGTTAGATCGGCAGACGCTTGGTGTGATCCGGCTGACATTAGCTAAGAATGTTGCGTTCAACATCATGAACGAGAAGACAACCGTAGATTTGATGCGAGCGTTGTCAAATATGTATGAGAAGCCCTCTGCAGCCAATAAAGTGCATTTGATTCGCAGGCTAGTCAACCTCAAAATGGGTGAAGGTAACTCGGTTACTAATCATATTAGTGAATTTAATGCAATTATTGCGCAGTTGACATCGGTGCGAGATAATATTTGATGATGAGGTGAAAGCATTAATTTTATTATCATCTCTACCGGAAAGTTGGGGTGCAACTGCTATCGCAGTAAGTAATTCCGCAAGCAATAACAAGTTGAAGCTTGATAACATCCGTGACTTGATCTTAAGCGAAGATGTTCGCAGAAAAATTCGAGTAGAATCTTTCGAGTTCTAATTCGAGTTCGAGCATTGAGTACTGAAACTAGAGGAAGAAGTCGCCGAAATGTCGTAATCAAGGCCGAGGCAGATCAAAATCCGGAGGGAGATCACAAGCAAAAGTCCGGAATGATATCACTTGTTGGAATTGTCGGAAAAAGGGCCACTTTTCAAATCGGTGTAGGGCTCCAAAGAAGGACAACAACAACAACAAGAAGCAAGATGATGATCAATCAAGCAAATGCAACGAATCGATGAAGTTGAAGATGCACTCGTTATGTAGTTTAGATAATTCTATTGACTCATGGATTATGGACTCAGAGTGCGTCATTTCATACTACACCTTCCTTAGAACTATTATCTAACTATGTTTCGGAAAGTTTGGGAAGGTCTACCTTGCAGATGGAAAATCTCTTGATATCATAGGAAGAGGTGATATTAACATCGGAACCTCTAATGGAAACGTGTGGACTTTGAATAATGTCGGACATATTCCAACCTTAAAGAGAAACTTAATATCTATAGGGCAGTTGGATGATGAGGGACATTACACCACTTTTGGAGATGGACATTGGAAGGTAATGAAAGGTAATCTTGTTGTTGCTCGTGGAAAGAAGCAAGGATCTCTCTACATGATTGCAGATGAGGATATGATATCGGTTGCGAGAAGTTGGCAACAATTCCTCCTTATGGCATCGAGGCTTGGGCATATGAGTGAGAAAGGAATGAAGCTCATGATATCAAAAGGTAAAATACCTAACGTGAAGCATGTTGACGTTGGACCTTGCGAACATTGTATCTTTGGAAAGCGAGAAAAAGGTTAGCTTCTCCAAAACAAGTAAGTCGTCTAAAGTTGAAAGACTAGAACTAGTGCATACGGATGTTTGGGGGCCGGCTTCAGTGAAATCCCTTGGAGGTTCACAATATTATGTAACCTTCATTGATGACTCTACAAGAAAGGTATGGGTTTATTTTCTTAAAAATAAATCGATGTGTTTTCTCGTGTTTAAAAGGTGGAAAAAGGAGGTTGAGACTCAAACAGGTTTAAAGGTCAAATGTTTGAAGTCCGATAATGGTGGAGAATATGACAGTAGTCAATTCAAGGAGTTTTGTTCGGAGAATGGGATCGGAATGATCAAGACAGTTCCAGGAACACCGGAACAAAACGGTGTGGCGGAAAGAATGAACGGAACCTTGAATGAGAGAGCAAGATGTATGAGAATCCAGTCAGGATTACCCAAGGTATTTTGGGCGGATGCAATAAGCACAGCAGACCTATCTCATAAACAGAGGACCATCGGTTCCTTTAGACTATAAGTTACCCGAAGAAGTATGGTCTCGGAAAAGAGGTAAATCTTTCACATCCGAAAGTTTTTGGTTGTGCTTCATATGTTATGTTAGACTCTAATAGTAGAGATAAATTGGACCCTAAGGCAAAACGTTGTTATTTCATTGGTTATGGATCTGACATGTTTGGCTACGGGTTTTGGGAAGACCAAAACAAGAAAATTATCGAAGTAGAAATGTTACTTTTAATGAAAACATGTTCTATAGAGACAGGATTGCGAGAATCCGCAAATGTAAATAAACAGACTAGAGCAAGTATCATTAGAAGAAATTTCGGAAAGTGATGTAGTCAACCGAAGGCGGAATATACAAGTAGAGCCTATGTCGAGCCTCGAGACAGAACCTGAACAAATAGTAGAGTCAGCAACTCCTGAAATCTTGGTTAGAAGATCTAGCAGAACAATTGTAGCACCACAAAGGTATTCCCCTTCATTGCATTATTTGTTGTTGACCGATGTCTGGTGAGCCGAGCATTTCGTCGAGGCTATGCGGGGAGATGAATCTATTAAGTGGGAGCTAGCAATGGAAGATGAGATAAAGTCCCTTCAGAAGAATAAAACATGGTCTTTAACCAAGCTACCGGAAGGAAAGAAAGTTTTGCAAAACAGGTGGGTCTATAGGTTGAAAGAAGAACCGGATGACGAACAAAAGATATAAGGCTAGACTCGTAGTGAAAGGGTTCCAACAAAGACAAGGAATTGACTTCACGAAATTTTCTCTCCTGTTGTCAAGATGACTACTATCGAGTTATCTTGAGTATAGTAAGCTGCAGAAAATCTTCATTTGGAGCGAGTTAGATGTCAAAGCTGCATTCTTACATGGGGATCTTGAAGAGGAAATTTTTATGACACGACCAAAAGGTTTTGAAGTACAAGGCGGAGAAAATCTTGTATGCAAGCTTCATAAAAGTTTGTACGGATTAAAACAAGCGCCGAGACAATGGTACAAGAAGTTTAATGAGTTTATGAGAAACTCGGGATTTCGCAGATGTGAAGAAGATCACCGTTGTTATGTGAAGAAATATGTTGATAGCTATATCATTCTTGCCTTATATGTTGACGACATGTTGATTGTTGGAGCTAATATGGCGGAAATTGACAAGTTGAAGAAACAATTGTCGAGAGCTTTGAAATGAAGGATCTTGGTCCAGCCAAGCAAATTCTTGGTATGAGAATCTCCCGAGATAGAGATAAAGGTATTTTGAACTTATCTCAAGAAAAATATATAGAAAAATTGCTTAGCAGATTCAATGTTGGGAATGCTAAAACCAGGAATACACCTTTGGGAACTCACTTAAAGTTTTCAAAGAGGCAATCTTCTCAAACGAGAAGAAGAAGAAAGTCACATGTCTAAAGTGCCATATGCATCTGCAGTAGGAAGCTTGATGTATGCTATGGTTTGCACCGGACCGGACATAGCACATGCGAGTGGGAGTTGTGAGCAGATTTCTATCAAATCCCGGAAAGGAGCATTGGGAAGGAGTGAAGTGGATATTCGGATATTTGAAAGGCACTTCAAAGATGCATTTGTCTTTCAAGAGAAGTAATCTCATTTTACAGGGGTTTTCTGATGCGGACTTGGGAGGTGATCTTGACGGTAGAAAGAGCACAACAGGTTATATTTTTACATTGGGTGGTACAGCTATCGGTTGGAAGTCTAAACTTCAAGGAAGAGTCTCTCTCTCAACCACTGAAGCGAGTATGTAGCTATCTCGAAGCGGCGAAGGAGATGATATGGTTGAAGAACCTTCTAAAAGAATTAGGAAGAGAACAAGATGGTTCTCCGTTGTTTAGTGACGATCAAAGTGCTATTTGTCTTGCTAAAAATCCAATCCTTCATTCCAGATGTAAGCACATTGAATTGAAGTATCATTTTATCGAAACCCGATAAATGATGGAGACTTGAGTTTGTTGAAGATTCCAGGTGCGAGAGAATCCCGTCGATATGTTGACCAAGATCTGTTACAACAACTAAGTTGAGGCTTTGCATTGCCTCAACTGGCCTTCGAGCAAATTGATGATGAAGGCTACACTAGGTGGTAACGTAAATCAAACTCCAAGTGGGAGAATTGTTAGTATTATGGTGCTTGATTTAGTCCCACATCGATTAGGATTGTGAGATGAGATTCTCTATTTTGTTATATAAGCAACCCTATGTAAAGTTTGAGATATACACAGAAATAAAAATACTTCCTAGTGTAGTCGTGGACGTAGGCATACATATTTTAGCCGAACCACGTTAAAATTCTTGTGTTGTTTATTTTTCTCTCCTTTATTCTTTCCTTTATTATTGTCTTGTTCCTAACACAGACTATGGTTACATTTTCTGGAAAATCATCCCCAAAATTTTCAGTACACCTCTGAAGTTCCCTCACCTGTCTGGGAGACACATCTATGTATATTCTTCAGCAGTGTTTGACATAGACAAGAAGGGATGCAGGAAAATGTGCTCTGTCTCTGAGATCCATAAGGTTATGATATTGCTATCCCTGCCCAGCTTAATTGTTAAGAGTGGATTAAAAGTCTCTGGCTCTTTCTTCCCTTATTCCTTGATGCACAGTTGGCACACAGGTTATTTTGATGAGCCTGTCGTGTTAGTGCATTACCTGCGTGAAGACGGTTGAATAGCTTCTTTGCTATCATATAATCTTCATACTCCTATAGGTATATGATATAGATATTTTTAATTAGCTGAGGCAGTGGAATTTTATTTTCCCAACTTCAATGTCTCCTATGAAGAACACATCAAACATCTTGATGCAAAAATATGAACTAGGTAGGTTACTTGGCAAAGGCACGTTTGGAAAGGTTTACTATGGGCGTAGTACAATAACTAACCAAAATGTGGCCGTTAAAGTGATTGACAAAAATAAGGTTATAAAAACAGGGCAAGCTGATCACATTAAAAGAGAAATATCTATCATGAGACTGATCAAGCACCCAAATGTTATTGAGCTTTTTGAGGTCATGGCCACTAAGAGTAAGATTTACTTTGTTATGGAATATGCTAAAGGTGGAGAGCTGTTTGGGAAGGTGGCCAAAGGAAAGCTCAAAGAAGAAGTTGCACACAAATATTTTAGGCAGCTAGTGAATGCAGTGGATTTTTGTCACAGTAGAGGTGTAAGCCATAGAGATATAAAGCCAGAGAATATTCTGTTGGATGAAAATGATAATCTGAAGGTCTCGGATTTCGGGTTAAGTGCTCTGGCTGAATCCAAACATCAAGATGGCTTGTTGCACACAACTTGTGGAACACCTGCCTATGTTGCTCCCGAGGTCATCAAAAGAAAAGGTTATGATGGTGCCAAAGCTGATATTTGGTCATGTGGGGTAGTTTTGTTTGTCTTACTGGCAGGTTATCTTCCTTTTCAAGATCCTAATTTGATGGTGATGTATAAGAAGATAAACAAGGCAGAGTTTGCATGTCCTAAATGGTTCCCAGGAGTTCGGAGGCTATTGAGCAAGATGTTGGATCCGAATCCAGGCACTAGGATTTCCATAGATAAGGTTAAGCAATGTTCTTGGTTTAGGAAGTGGCCAAATGGTAGACAGACAACACAAGAAGGGGAAAACAGGAGTGTCTCTCCTTCAATTACGAATCATGCTGAGCAATGTGGTGATGGAAGTAACTGCTTAGCAGCAAAAGCAAGGCAAGAGCCAGTTGTGCCAGTAAGTATAAATGCCTTTGATATCATCTCCCTTTCACCTGGGTTTAATCTTTGTGGATTCTTTGAAGACAGTTTTCAGAAAAGGGAAGCAAGATTTTCTTCAAGACAACCAGCATCTCTCATTATCTTCAGGCTGGAAGAAATCGCCAAGCGGCTGAAGATGAAAATAAAGAAAAGGGCCGCGGGTTTGTTGAAATTGGAGGGCCTTCATGAAGGTAGGAAGGGGATCTTATCCATTGATGCAGAGATCTTTGAGGTTACTCCACTTTTGCACTTGGTGGAGGTGAAGAAATCAAATGGAGATACATTGGAATATGAGAAAATATTGAAAGAAGCCATAAGGCCTGCTCTTAAAGATATTGTTTGGGTTTGGCAAGGTGACCAACAACAGCAATCACAAGATTTGGATCAACCGCAGCAACAACAATCACAGTAATAAATACAAAATTTTCTTAGTTTTCAATGTCCCAAACCTTATTATTTGTGCATCAATAACATGAATGTCATTTTAGAAGATACCGTATCTGTAATTTTTCTTCTGGTTTACAATGCCATGACCTTATTGTAATACATAGTATCTCAAATTCAGGTGGCAGATGTTTAGATTGAATATTTATGTATGTTTACTGGTAAAACCCGTTTGTCGTGGTCGTGACTCCTAATTTTTAAGGACATGAGTGAAAAATGAGAGTCATACACCGTCCTAAGAAAAATCAATGAAGTGTGTAGTTCTTTATCAATTCCTTTTATACAAGGACCTGCTTCTGATACAGCCAAAGATAATTGTGTCACTAATCGTACATAGTAACATAATATATCTCAACAAATTAACCCAAATATTTTGAAGCTCAAAACATACCTCACCACTCTTCTAACTCTAGAACAGTGATTTTCACAAACAATATCATGGCAATTGATTTCAATAATGGGATAAATTAATTTTTATTATTACGAAAACCAAACAGATCCTAATTTTCAGAAAATGAAGCTATATATTGTCTACAACCAGGAACCTGGATTTATTCTTCCAAAACCAATTCTAATAAAAGCAAAACTCATCACACCAAAAAGTCTATATCCTCGTAGCGTTATATGAAGACTTAAGAAGCTAAGATATTTTCTTTGGACTAGGTAAAGCATGTTGCATCATCAATATCGGTACGTTATCCTTGTAGAACCCCGTTCTAGTCTCGTGAGAATTGACATAAAATTTTTATTTCAGTCTCTAATTAATTTAAAAAAAAAAAAAAAAAAAAAAAACAGATGAGAAGACCAGTTTCTAAGGGAGGACAACCGTATTTCATTTACAACATTTTTCGTGGACTGAGATATTTTCTGTGCTAAAAAACGAATACTGTAAAATACTCTTTTATTCAAAGATTTGTTCTCTTACCGTTTATCCATACAAAACCGATTAATCTCAAATCACATGCGAAAGAGACATAGTGAGTAAGAAACATGGTTATTTGCCAATCAACTGCAACATATTGGTATACATTCACAGCTATGCATAAAAGCAACAAGCAATTAGTAGCATGTAAGTCTGAACCACATGTTAAGGGAGTGGACAGTAGTATTATTGTAGCAATGTTATGATAATTATCTCCATTAAAAGCAACTATATACCATAAGAACCATTCATTCAGGCTTTGGGGAAGAGGAAGAGACTAAGTGCCTCCAAAGATAGCGACCGCTGGCCATGTCAAGGAAGGTCCAGAACCCAGATTGCAATGCAGCACAAACCTGTAGACTCACCATTCCACGACATGAAAAGACATCATTTTTGTAAAATCTAAAGCATAAATAGAAAGAGGTGGAAAATGGTCCTTTGTACCTTGGAAGTTGAATTGTCTATGGATGGAGAAACAGCATCTGAGGTTAGGGTGTGTTCATTGTTATCATTGTTTACATCCAAGTCAGAGTCAGTGGTGTGAGGTTGAGATCTGAGATTTCTGAGGACCAAGAAACCAGCAAGAGTTGCCGACAAGAATACGAGAATGAACCTGAGAGGACACATAGTTTCCTCGGATTCACATAACCTTTGTGTGTGTATGAGAGGAATCAAGGTTTGACTTTGTTGTAGTGGGATGCAAGGTGTTGCTGATTTAAGAAGACACTCAATAAAAGCAGATAGTTGGTGGCTTGGTCTCCATCAACTTTTGTCCTATTGTCAAATTCTTCACTTTGGCATTACTTTGATGTTACCTTCTTCTTCTTTTTGCTTAAATTAAACAAATGATGAAAAAGTATGGTGGGCTATTTTATCTCATCCTATTTATATTTATAATTGGTGAATTAGTAAAAATGGAAAAAAAAAGTTTATCATATTATTTTTTCTCATCGTTCCCATTAGTGTACTTCGAAGTGTAAATGTAAATGTGAAGTTTCATATCATATAAAAATAAATAAGTTAATAACATTCAAGTGAAGAAAATCTATCAACTTAACAATATTTGAAGATTTTAGATTAAATTTACATTTTTCTTATAGAAATTCACCCATTTTAAACCTCCCAATGCATTCAATGCACTTCACCCCCCACCCACTCATCATGTAGATAAATTTATGCACCATTCATTACTTTCTGCACTAAAATGAGTTGCATGCTTATACAAATTTTCCTTGGATCTGAATGTTGGGATTTGATGTTTTAACAATTAACAGTTTAATAAGAGTATTAAAATGTTTCGCATCTCTTATTTGAAAAGTTTTTCGTCGACAAAAAAATAAAAAAACTGTGCTCCATTAGATCTGGTATTATAATAACTCCTTGCCGGAGGCTTGCAATTGTATTTTAAGAAAGTATACACCGTTAAATATGCAACAAAACTTAAAGGTCATAATTAACAAGAAATAATTTTTATTGGTAGCAAGGAATTTATTTGCTTACATCTTCATGGCATATACTAAGCAGTAAACTTCTCCAACAATTTTCACCTAATTTTGACATTTTAGCCCTTAATTTTTATTTTTATTTTTAAGTAGAGTTTCGCATTTTGCAACCCATCCCATAAAAAAACCCGACAATCATTCACGTAAAAAAAAAAGTAATCTAGCCTTTGTTCTTCACTTTTGCCTATAAAAAATCTTCGTTTAGAAAACACAAACTTTTTATCAGAAGTTTAATAGAAGTAAAAGTAGCTTTTGTAATTTCAATTTATATATACAAATAATTTTGACACTCCCAAATTACTCCTTTAGGAAGTGCATTGGAAAATATGTTGTTTTCATTCAAACAATACTTTAACGGATTTTTAAGCAACCAAAACTGTTTGGCTTTGTGCCAAAATTATTATAATAAAGTGTCAACATAAACATAGTATAAATCAATTTAAAAAATATAAATAATGGATAAATAAGATGTAACCTAAATTATATTAAATTATTTCAATAAGAGTATTTTCATCTTATATTAAATACTATAATATAATTAAAAAAAATTCAATAAAATAAGAATAAATTATGTATATAAATTATCTTTAACCATAAGAAAATATAATATTTAGGTAAAAAAGAAATGAAACTCTAATTTCAATTTCACGATGAGCGTTAATATTTTATCCAAAAATAAAAATATTATAATATCATGTCCAATATAAAAAAATATTCATTTGAGTGAATTTGAGAAATAAAATGATATATATATATATATATATATATATATATATAATAGATCTTTATTTTTAATTAATATGAAATTTATCACTTGAAAAATATATAAATCATAATATTTTTATTTAACTAGATTACAATATAATCTATGTGTACTTTAAAATGGGACAAATCATTCACCAATGCCTTATCCGATATAACTTTTATATTCACTTAATTTAAATTTAAAATTTGATTTTAAGAATGTTACTCAAATTGGAAGAATATATTTTTTCTTCTCTAATTTTTTAACGGGCAAAAATGACCTAACATACCGTCAAGTTAAGGTTGAAAACCATATCAGTTGGAATTAGGCCAAACCAAATCATAAAGTTAGGCTTGAAAACCACTATTTGTTGAAATTCAGGCCGAAACCAAACAATCGATTTAGACTTGAAAATCAGCACCAGTTGAAACTCAGGCCCGAACAAACCGATACTTGTTTTGGGTCAGGCCTGACACCTCTAATTTTGAGACAAGCTCTGGTAAGAGAAAAGCCAAGACCTTCATTGCTCAAGTTATTCCAGTTAAAGCCGCTATCGGTGAATTAATGTTTCGTATTTTAAAAACAATGTCGATTGTATCGATGACATCATACATTCTATAAACTACCATATATACTATTAACAATGCATGATTAAGGCACTAATTTATAACTCTTTTGCATGACATGACCCACGCCAAAGGTGGTGATGATACATAATAATAATACACATTATTTATACAGAAAAAGAGTTCTTATATATCACAGACAACTCATGTTAATTAGGTATCCCACATGAGATTCAGTTATCTTTCTATTTTTTTTTTTTTTTTGAGGGACATATTTATACTATCTTCGGAGATCATTTATATACATATTTTTTTAAAATATGATATTTTTGGCTTTATAAAAAGAGACTTTGATTCATGATAAACAACGTGGCATGTCCATTCATTGAGACATTCACTTTCAAACTATCCACGCCAACAATAACAATATGAAATCCAAAGTGATGGTTGAAATAATTGAAAATTTGAAATGGGTTTCCAACACCAACCACATTTTCTGTGTACAGCCAGAAAAAAACGACAATGAACTTAATATATCATGCATTAATAGTCGAGGAACCATCTTGGTTTTTTTGTTCAGATGAAGTGTAACATGGTTCAATCAACGGTTCGATTTTATGCAACCTTTCTCACATGTTATGCTAGGAATTTGGACAAATGCATGCACAGCTTAATTATGAAGGAAATGGATGAATATGATTTAGGATAAATAATGGTAACAAAATTTCATAAAAAGTTGTGTTTCATGCTCGTGAAGGTTGGTTTGGCACATGTGATGTTCAGTCACGTACGTAATGGTGAGGTCCTCTTGGTGCTGTTTTTGCATGGCAAACTTGGACCATACGCATGGCATCAGTTAATTAACTCAACCTTGAGAGCAAAACTACTAAGTAATACTTAATATGTCGTGTCAAAATGATTTTAGACTATAAGATTAAGAATTCTAAACCACGTAAACATTTTTCTATGTGGGGAAAGGTGTTTTAAAAGTACAGTCCACTCTTTCAACTTTGGAGCCACTTGAACTACACTGCAAGTAGTGCAGCGTCCGTTTGTTATTAATTGAAGACAACAATGTATGACCAACTTTTGAATGTGACTGAACTTCATCTGGAGCTCAGGAAACTTAAGTTCTTTACTTCACATGGTGCGTTAGATTTTCTGACAAAAACATTATTTCTCCTAAACAAATATTCTCACAAATGGTAAAGGGCATTGCCTTGCCGGAGATGCAAATGCGTTCCATGAACTTAATCGACAATCTATGTGCAATCAAATAAGCATCACGAGAGATTAGCAAAAAAAAAAAACCCTAGGAAGAGAATAACCTGGAATCCTCACAAGGTTGGAGAAATAATCACTAGTGCAAAAAGGGGCTTTTACGTCAGGTATTTAGGGCTTTTTACGTCGTATTTAAGTCCGACGTAAAAGCGGGAGCGTAAATTTACGTCGGACCCTTTTACCCGACGTAGATTTACGTCAGTTATGAAGATACGACATAATTTTGCGTGGCATATACAATAAACAGACGTAAAAACCTTTTCAATTTAAAAAAAAAAACAGAAAATTTACGTCGCATATAGTATATACGACGTAAATTTACGTCGCATATACCATATGCGACGTAAATTTACGTCGCATATGGTATATGCGACGTATATGCGACGTAAATTTACGTCGTATATACCAATATGCGACGTAAATTTCTTGTTTTTTTTAAATTGGGTTTATTTACTCTGTTTTACAACTAAAACCCGCAAAAATTACAACCAGACAGATCCAGAGCGAGTTTTCTTTAACTAGTAAATTAAAAATATAATATTATATAATTCAAACTACATAATAAAACAATATAATACAAACATACAAACTAAAAAATCTATTACAAACTAAGCTACCTATACAAACTAAGCTACCTATACAAACTAAACTAAACTACATAATACACACAATATAATATGAACAAGAACTTAAAAAATAATGTACTAGAATTGTTGAACAAAAAATTTTGCCCATTGTTCTCTAATTTCCGTAATCTCGGATTCGGTAATGGAGATGGATCTTGAAATACCTGAAACATGAATTTGACTCTTGTAAGCATGCAACATGAATAAAGTTAAATAAACTTAACTAATGTTAAAAGTAATTACCTCCGATCCAAGAATCAATTAAACCCGCACAAACTATGACTCTCATCCAATACATTACATAGTAACCACATTCAAATGAGTCAGTTTGCTTATTACACTGAAATGATGAAAAAAACATAATATTATTTTCAAAATTGAAATATAAACAATAATTATGGTATTCACTTATATAAATAAGTTTCTAACCTTAGGATAAATGAACTGCAATGTCTTTGTTCTAGGTTTTCCACTTAGAACATTAGTTCCGCACTACGATTCTAAGTGAAAAAAGTCATATATTATTCAATATGTATTCACAATTTAAAAACATAATTAATGAATAAAAGATAAAGTTACCCTTGTAATAAACTTTTCATTTCTTGACTCGGTTTCCGATGTAATGAACAAAACCACACCACGAGTGTAATCCCGGGTATGATTACAATTAACTGCCAATGGGACCTACATTGTATGGCATAAAAATTAGTTACAAAAATATAAATTAAAATACTAACCCTTCAATGTATGGAGCCAAATATATATGTCTTCTTGAGTCACTCATCCATGTTTGCATATATTGTTGGATTCCAACCTTTGTATTTCCAGCATTTTTGGATGGATTGAGGCTCAATAAATCCGTATACTTTGGATTTTTCTTGTTCCACACTCAAATTGTCAAGGTACCTAAAACAATTAATTATAAGTTGAATATAATTATTATAATCTTAGAAACATAAATGAAAATGACTTACATTGCCCACAATTGTATGATGGAAATGTTTAACATGCAATTTCCCCAAGCAATTTCTAAAGCATCTGGCAAGGAAATGTACAATGGAACACTGGAATTGTCAATTCCAAACACTCTAACATCCCATTGTATCCGACACGTGCCTCTTCCTCAACCGTGGTAATACGGCTAACAACATAAAGATGGGATCATCATCACATTCGTCAGATCCTTATCAATAATAGGTTGCTTTTTATGCTTAGCACGACGCAAGTCCTCCTAAACAAATGATAACAATTAATTAAACATTTATATAATTATAATACTAGAAAAGAAGTAAATAGACAATATGTATATATATATATATATATATATATATATATATATATATATATATATATATATATATATATATATATATATATATATTACTCTAGTACTGTCTGATAATGGCATAACCAAACGTCTTGGTCAAGCCAAGAATGTCCCGCTTACCTACCCCACTAATTGAATCTCTTCATTAGGAAAAGGCACTGGAGCATTAGCATCATTAACTTCATCAACTACTACTCGTGTCCAGTCTGGCTGTAGAGGGACACCATGGATGGTTAAGCCACCCTCAAAAACTCGACCAACATATTGTATAACTCTTAATAATACCATAAACAAACAAGTGATCACGTATATCCTCAAGTTTATGACGAATTTGATTCAAACAACGAACACATGGACAATAATATGTCCCTTTCATAGCTTTTCCATTTTCACTAGCAAATTTCAGAAATTCCTCAACTCCCTTTTCGTACTCTTCACTAATACGACGTGCATTCATCCAACTTCGATTCATATTATGTTATAAAGTTTCGTCACTCCTAAAGATTTAAAAATTAAATGTAAAAAAAAAATTAATATACAAATAACAAAGCACGTTCCAACAACAATGGAGTGTGTAAACCGAATGCACTCAAACAAATAAACAAATAACTACATTCCAATAACAATCCAGTGGAGACATTCATACTATAACGTGATTGAGATCCCCAAAAACAATCACGGATTCAATGTAAACATATAGCAATGACAATGAACACTAACCTTGAGTGTAGACGAAAACTGATTTCAAACTCGAATCCAATCGGGGAGAAAGATGAAGTTCGTCAAATGACACGACAATGTAGATGCTTTTCACTGTAAAACTGCTCGCAAATGGTGTGCAGAGGTAGTTGTTGTCGTCGTTCTCGTCGTCGTTCTCAAAAACCCTGGTTGCGCGAGACGAGGAAGTGGGCTGGGAGGAAAATAAAATAGACTTTTTACGTCGCACAGTGCAGCAAGCGACGTAAAAAGTCATCTTTTACGTCGCACCTGAGAGGCGCGACGTAAAAGATGGCCTTTTACGTCGCGCCACTTAGGTGCGACGTAAAAGATGACTTTTTACGTCGCGCCACTTAGGTGCGTGACGTAAATTTTTTGTCCCATATTTACAAAATTGTCACCGCGTTTTATTTACGTCGAATATACGTGCATGCGACGATAATTGGGTGACGTAAAAGCCCTATTATGCACTAGTGAATTAAAGTTGTAAGCTGTTCCTATAGCATCAAATAAGTCAATTCAAATGTTCCATTCCAACCTTGAAGCAGTTCAAGAGAATCCTGACAGAAAAAGCAATAACTTGGGAAGAATAAGACGAAACAAAATACTGTAATTACTTTACATATAAGGATGATAAATATACATCATGAACTTGCACGCTTAATCAACCATGTGTTTCACGTCTATGTTTGCCCCACTACACAGTAGCCTCTGAAAGTTACATTTCGGCCACAACACATTTCAATTTCCAATTCTCCACCCTCCCGTGTCTTTTCAATCTTATTTCAAATTTAGTAATTGAAAAATAATAATGACCCCGAATCATGATTCACCTGCAACCGGCTGTGCACCAGTTTCCTCCCGATCCGACGTCGTACTGCTGCTGGCTGCACAGAGATATGGCCTCAGCTTATTCCTCCACACATCTCTAAAAACTCCACCGTTCCCATCCCTTCTTCTCACCTCAACCACAACCAGTTCCCCCGTTAACCGGTAAACCTCCACCAAAGCCGCGAAATTACCGTCACACCCCTCCAATTCCACCCCACACTCCTTCCTCCTCCTCACCACAAGACCCTCCACCGTGGCCGCCGCTGCCACTACCTTCTCCACCACTTTCTCCGGCGACTCCTTCAGCAAAAATCTCTCTCCCTCTTCCACCCCACGCGACGAGTCAAACAAACCGGAGAGATTCAACCCTGTGGAGAAAGAAATGATATCAAAGGCGTTCAAATCCTTCACCTCATCACCCTCACTCTTCCACTCCAACCCTAAATCGCCAAAAGTGACCTCCTTGTACCCCTTTCTGAACCACGCCTCCTTCAAAATCTCATCAACGGTTATCCTCGTCTCGGGATTCGTATCCAACAACCTCGCCAGAAACCTCCTTAACTCCGTCGAAAACCACCTTGGACACCGAAAATTCCCATTATAAATCTTCCTATACATCACCATAAGATTCGGGTCATTGAAAGGAAGATACCCAGCCACAAGAACAAAGAGAATAACCCCACAAGACCAAACATCAACCTTTGCCCCGTCGTAGCCCCTCTTCGCCAAAATCTCCGGTGCCACGTAAGCAGGAGTCCCACACAGCGTGTGCAGCATCCCATCCACCCCTACCTGCTCCTTCACCGCGCCGAGGCCAAAGTCGGAGACCTTAAGGTTTGCCTGCTCGTCCAGAAGGAGATTCTCCGGCTTCAAGTCGCGGTGGAAAACGCCGCGCGCGTGGCAGTACCCGACGGCGGATATCAACTGCTGAAAGTATCGCCGCGCGAGATCCTCGCCGAATCGACCTTTCGAAATTCTGGCGAAGAGCTCGCCACCTTTGGCGAATTCCAAGATAAAGTAGATTTTCGTCTTGGTCGCCAACACTTCGTGGAGTCTCACTATGTTAGGGTGGTGGAGACGGCTCATGATGGCGATCTCGCGCTTCACGTTAGAGGCCAGCCCTGTTCCGGTTAGTTTTTTCTTGCTTATGATTTTCACCGCCACGCTCTGCCCCGTCTTGGTGTTGCGGGCGTGGTACACCTTGGCGAACGCTCCGCATCCTAGGAGCCTTCCGACCTCGTATTTTTCGAACAAGACGGTGCTCTCTCCCGCGGCGGCCGCAGTTTCGGTTTCTGGCATTGTTTCACTGCGGCAACCGTGCTCTCACGAGAGCAAGCTTGTTTCTCGGTTTGGCAAAATTGGGGGCTTAATGTAGGATGGTTTAAAGAGTCTATGGGAAATTTCTCGGAAATTGTTGATTAAGGTTTAAAGAAACGTAAATGGAAGGGCTTGGTTATTGTTTAAGGAAAAGAGGTTTTGCTGGCTTTGGTTGTCTCAGAATTTTCAGGAAGGAACTGCGCTGGAAGACGATGGTAACGTTTTTGAGTTGTTGTTCATTATTCTTCTTTCAACTTATATTGAATGAGAGGGAGCCTATTTACTTCCTGATTATTTAAAAAAACTATTTAGGTAAAATAAAGAAAAATATTAAAATCTTATTCTCTGCACTTTTTTTTAAGAAAAAAAAGTGATTATACAATATAAAAGATATTTAATAATTAAAATAACGCTAAAATTGAATTAAAACATTTAAACTTTAAAATAGAAAATAATTAATAGACTGAAACTGAACTCTAGATTTTTCACAAACTTTTTATCTTTTTTCATACATCATTTTTAATTGCCTGATACATCAGTCATATCTTTATAAAAATACTATTAATTAGTCAATATATTTTAATCAAAATAAATATTAAAAATAATGAGATAAAGTTTCTTATTGAAATTAGAAAAGTGAATAATCATTTATTATATAATAATTATTTTCTATCTAAACATTAAATAATTAAATAATAACAATTGAAATGGGAGAAGGAAGACAATTATTCCATAAATATTCAAATTAGTTTAAAGAATAACATAAATTATAAAAGTATTTAATTTAATAATTAATTAAATTAATTTTGTTTTTTAAGAATGCGAATTGGTTAAAAAATTATACAGTGAGATTAAAAAAAAAAAAATAGAAAGATGAAGGAGGGGTTTATGACGCGTGAAAGGTGCGTGTGGGTTGAACTTCGGAGGCTGCTAGGTGGATGGATTGCTTAGATGGGAACGTGAATACCCTTTTTTTCTTTTTCAGCATTTGAAGGTGTTAATTGTGGCCATACACGTGGCCGTTAGTGATTGGGACAGAGAGATGACTCTTGCAATAAGATAATGCCACGTCGGTGCCGATTTTTACAAAAGAGTTGATTTTTTCCTCAAGTACAGTTGGGGGGACTCTCGGGATTGACATTTAGTTGGTTGAGATTTCTTGCCATCAATAAAAAAAACAGTTTTGCCAATATTTTGTTTAGACTCTTTCCTTAAAACTATAATTTTTTCAAATAATGTTCAACCCTCTCACCAAAATAATAAATGTGCGAGTCCAATGAAAAAAAATTTGTAAGAATTAAAAATTATTCTCAAACTGAGAAGTTCTAATACAATAATTTCATTTACATATTTTTGAATATTATCTTACAGAAATAGAGGCGTTTTCATTAATATAAGATTTTAATATATTTGAAAAGAATTTTACTTTTCATATTCTCACAGATAAAAAATATATAGATAATTTTATATTTTATAATAAATAAATATAGAATTGAGAAGCAGAAGAAAAGCAGAAAGTAAGTGAAATATGGTCATAAAGCTTATATTACGCGTATGGAATGTGTTGTTAACTTTATTGTGTAAATTTTCTGTTAAATTGTTTTTTAGTGGGGAGGTGAGAAAAACCGATCATGATTTTATACATGTTTTACTTAACTAATAAGAGTAATAACATGTGCTCTACACGAAACTCTAGCAAAATAATTAGCACATGCAATGCGTGGGCAAGGTAAAGTTTAAAATATCGAAAGACACGATGTTAATTTCAATCAATTATGGTATGTCTGTTTTGTATTGGCTGTTAGTTGTAGCAGAATTCAATTATTTGTGCTTGCTGTTTCTGTTAACATAATAAATATTTATAATTTTAATTAGATGATTAAATCTTATATCAACGGTTTATGTTTTGATTCCATAATATTCTAAAAATATATCAATGTATCAGAATTCAATTTCATGTTTTTTTTATAAATACCTTAGATAGTTAATAACTATTTTAGGTGAGGTAAAAAAACTGTACATTTTAATCTTGAAATTTATTTAATAATATATATTTAGTTAAATTATTCAGTATTTATTTAGTCTTACACGAAATTGCAAAATCATGAACACGTGTTATAAATTAGGTCAACAATGCAAACTGGCACTTTAAGCTTTTCAATATTTTATATTATAAATTTAGATACTAAATGACACGTGGTTATTTGATTTTAGCTCTACATGAACTTTATGTAAATCTCGAGGAATATTGAAGTTAACCACAGTTGAATATTCGAACCGAGTTTAATTTAAGAATTTAAATAGTTAAGTGATTGAAAAATGTTTTCTACTTTTAACTGTTATTTTAAACTTTTTACAATTAATTTTAAGACTTAGAAAACAAGTTTAGTTTATCCTTCTTATTTTCTAAAACTGAAAAATATTAAAAAACTGAATAATAAGTTACACTTATATTTTTATTAACAATAAAAAATAAAAAATATATAAATATATAGTTAACAATATTAAACTTATTACATTATTTTATTTAAAAAATAATCAAATCAATATAAAATTGATATATGATATATATTATTTAATTATTTATTTTGCTCTTCAAATGAGATAAGTTACAAGTATTAGACAACGTAAGTCTTTAAATTTCAACAGGTTCCATTCGGCTTTTAAATTTGGATCACAATATATAAGGTTTGAAATACTTATATTCAACTCTCTCCAAATTAATTGGAGATTCGATTTTTATGATTTCGTTTTAGAATATAATGAATTGAAATTCAGTTCAATAAATAAATACTACATCTAAATTTAAATGTGTTAAAATATCTAAATTCACATTAATTTTAAAAAATCAGTTGATATTATTTAATTTCAATTATAAAATACTAAGTTTTTTTTGAAGTATTCATCAAAACATGATATTATATCTTTTTTTAAGTATTCATCAAAATTAAATTATTAAAAATAGAACCACAATTAAATAAAGGAATGATAATATTGTCAAATTAAATTAAATTAATCATATTTTTATTTTCTCCTAAAAAAACACAAACATTTTTCACTCATTTCTTTTTCATTTTACTCCCAATCGCCTGATCCAAACATATTAAAAATTTTCATCTTTTCTATCTTTTTCTACTCTTAGTAGGTGCTTAAAGTGCCCTTGGTATCCCCAGGGGAGAATAGGGTGTGTTGGGCTCTAGTTTATTAAAAAGGCTATTTGGGCTACTTTTGGGAAAGCCCAATGGGAAGGGAAAAATATGTATCGCACGATTACTTGGGCTTTTGGGATACTACTGACAACCGGTTAAAAGGAATTAAAAGGTCCAAAAAGAAAGGGAAGTCAGTAGGTTATATAAGTTGTTATTGGGTCAAGATTTTTCAACAATAATCAACACAACACTCACAAATGTAAATAACTAGTATCATAACCCGTGCAACGCACGGGGTTTTTGAAATTTTTATATTAATAATAAATAATATTTTAGTATTAATAAATTGTATTAATAAAAAAAGAAATGTTATAAATGATATGTAAAATTTTTAAATGAAAAAATTATATTAAAAAAATTTATTAGAAATGTTAGCACTTGTGAGGTTAAAGATGATGTTTTCTGAATTTAGAATAGATTTATTTAAAAGTTGATTTATGTATGATAAAAAAAATGCATATTAAAAGTTATAATTATTTGGGGTTCTAATATTTAATGAATAATATGATGAATAGAAATTAACTAACCTGAGGAAAACATCGAAAAAGAACTCAATACATGTGAATTTTGAGTCATTCCAAATTGATTATCATTACATGTAAGAATAATGAACATCTTGTCAAAGTTTGGACTTGTAGAATAATTTTGTTGTCCACCGACTCTTGAATTCAATGCATATATGCTTTTAATATAGCATATATAAGAAATAAGATATATCCAAAACATAACAGTTTGAATTAACAAAGATAACTAACCATCCGACAACTCGATAATAGTTTCCTCCTTCCACTTCCCAGGGTTCCACTACAAATGTTCCACTCTCATGTATAAATTTGAACATCATAAAGCACATTGAAAGTAGCAAATAAAAATTTACAACAATATAAGAATAACACTTTACCTTTATTGTGAGAATGGTGAGATGTTAAATTTCATTAAGAATGGTCTTCCTTACAATTTTGTCGCTACAGATCATTTGATTATGATCTGAAATAATAATCAGTAAAAATTTATAATTACTATTAATATATTGTTTAAATTACATATTAACTATATAATTAAGACAACTGACCAAATGAAATTTCTGATAATGATTTTCTATTTCTACTTTGAAGTGTTCCACTGCTACTGTAGCTTGTATAATATAAATTTTAATATAGGATGCAACATTAGAGTGGTAAATAAGAAGATATACAATGATATAACTATAATCTTTGCAGTTGTAATGTGAAGGTTCTTACTTGATGCATTTCCATAGAAAATAGTGCTCATTTGATTCTCATCTAACATTGTGTGTTATATCACATTGTAATGTGAATAATAATAAAAAAAAACAAAAGATTAATAATGCATATTCAATTCGACTAAACAAAAAAATTTACAACTACATAAAAGAAAACTTTGTTAAACTTATACTGCAAGGTTCATGACTGGAAAAGTTGCGAATGGCATTGATTTTCCTCCTCTTTGTGTGGTGTGCAGGTGTTTAAACTTATTCTCATCTGATATTTCAAAATCAAATTAATCAACAATGATACAATTGATAAAATCTGGAATAAACAAAGATGAAATGCAAAATATAATAATATCAAACCTATCATATGAACATTTCTAGCAGCCAACTTTTGTTGCAGAATGAACTTCCTTCTTGTTCTTGCCTATTTTGAATCATTTGGTTCCATTACTCTAAAATCTGTAATTTTGCTACACAAAGTGATATAAGATGAGTATCAAAGAGAATGAGATATACAGAGATGAGGAATGCACTAAAGA